CCGGAGTTTGAACTTGATTGGACATGTCATGAACCAGTTGCTGCGCAGACCATAAATGGGCTCTGACCTTTCCTCTTATCACCCATCTCCTCCATGGTCACCACACCTGGCAAACGAAATCTGGCTGCAGACTCTGGCACTCCCCGGTCGAACAAGAGACGGAGGCGAGTTAATAGGAGGGTAGATGACGGTAGTGACGAGGAAGAGAGGCCTGCTAAGGAACGTGGTGCAGGCAAAGCGTCCAGAAACGGCGGTGCTGCGGAAACTGAGGGCAAGAAAGTCGCTGCCGAGGACAGCGAAAGCGATACCGAGTTCTCAAGTGCAGGTGCGTCTGTGAAACGTTCCAAGAGTGGATGAGCACTGAGCAGCGCGGCGGAAACAGTCTGTGAGGCTGAACGATTGGAAATGAGGTCTGCCGTGTTGATACCTCGTCGATATGTGGGGCAGCCGGTGTCGCCACTTCGCGCTGCAGGGCCATGCATTCGACAGCCGGGCTACTCCTGGTCGGCGTATCCCTGCACCCAATGTGTGGGTCTAGGGAAGCGCTGTCAGAGGCAGAAAGAGCCGGTTTTTCGAAAGCATGATGGAGCGGCGCGCGAAGCGACGGGCACATGCTGCTTCTTATGTCGGGCGGCTCGTAGAAAATGTGAGTTGAGAATGAGTAGAGATCGGGGTAAGGGGCAGAAAGATCAGACGATGACGGAATCGGTCGAGACGAAGGTTGAAGAGCGGAGTGACGGGATGGGACCGCATGTCACAGAGCAGGTACGCCAGCTCCAGTATCAAGACACATGAACGTCTTTGCTGAAACAATTGTTCAGTTGATCGATAAGACCAGCTTGCAACGGGTAGAGACGGAGGACGGTGTCGCGATGAAAGTCAGATTTGAACACCTTGAGCGAGGAGTGGATACTTTTCACGAGGTAAGTCCACACCGATCATGATTCGCTCATAGAAATTAGACCTGAGAGGCTGAGATGCTGTCGCAGGTGACGAGAATTTTCGAGGATGACAATCTGGTTGACGTCTTGGAGCGTACTGTACTCCATGCAACGCAATCATTGGATGGAAATGACAGAAGCGAATCTCCAGTTGGAGGCTTGAAGGAGGGGCAAGACGATATGGTTGATACGGTCGACACCGACTCTCCCCGATATGCCGGCGACAGCCTTGAAGTCGCTAATTCATTTAACAAGGATATCGATATCGGCACGGACCAGGTGGATAGTGGATCCTGCGACTACGAATTGGATGCCAGCGATGGACAAGGTCTTGTTTCCGTGTTGAAGGGAATCTTGGACGAGTTGAAGGAGATTAGGAGAAACACCGACAATATCTTGAAGTGCAAAGAAATAACCTTGCAGGAAGTCAGGGCGTTAGAGGGAATTCTTTCTGTGTGCGGTGGGGCAGGCAAGTTGCAGGGAACTGGAAACGTTGGCGGTAGCACCATTGGGCCTGTTGGACACCGTCGCACCGCCTCAACTGATACACTCGTCGACTTAATGAATGGGAAAGCGTAGCTGAATAGCTTTTACGCTATTTTGGGGAAGGAAAGTCAAGAAACGGACTCATACATTGTACTACCACAGTCAGACAAACTACAATTTTAACCCTACTCGAGATAAATAGCTCCTACATCCCGAACTGAGAGATGTTAAAGTCGCAGGGTCGCAGCAATGGCAGCGTTATACCGTAAAAGTTTAAACGCTGGGGGGAAAGCTCTTGTCGTAATCTTCGATTTTTGCCCCAAAATGTTCGGAGACCAGCTCTTCTATGAAACTTCGGCGAGGTTTCTCCACTGGGGTTATGCGCACGGTGTCACCTCTGCCCATAGTAGTAACCGAGGCGCATAGCCGACACGTAAATGGACCTGAGAAAATTGGACCCCGATGCCCTGTGGATCGACGCTGGTCCGTATCAAGACAACAAATGTCGTCTATACAGATACGAACCCCATTTTCACCAGCATGCGGGTGTCCTTTAAGCCGCAGCACAGTCCGCAGAGTAATACGATAGTCGCACTTGCACTGTTTAGTGGTTGTGCTGTTCGCCTGGTCAAGCGGGAGGAGAGGGAAAGGACTGTCGCAGCGTCCGCATTGGATGGATTGAGCGAGAATGGTGTTAGTGAGTCGTGTTGGCGAGCATCTTGAGCGGTCTCTGATGCTGAGGACGATAGCGGCAGTTTCCCAACCAAGGTCCGTGAGGGTTTGCAGTGGCATCGATTCATCCGACTCGGCGAGTCGAACGGCACCTTGCTTCAACCATGACCCAATGCTGCAAGCCCTAGCCAGCTGAATCATATCCACTGCGCTTAGATCGTGGCGTTCCTGAAGCATCTTGATGCTAAAGTCGCGTATCTATAGCGTATCAGCCTATCACGTCCAGATCCATCATTGACCAGTGAACTACCAGAATAAAACTCACTTCCTTCATGTCCCACATCGTCGAAAGCTTTAAAACTCCTATCCATTCCTCTTTCGAGAGACCAATCCTAAATTCCAATGACGAGCTTGACCTCAATGCGCGAAATCTGAGAACATCGCGTTAGCTCCAGAGTCCAGCCATGACATGCATAAAACAAAGGATTCACGTTGGGTATATGACCTTCAACAGTGCGAGAAAGTCCGATTTCTTCTGGCCTTCAAGGAATACTGCGTTACTCTTGTCACGCCCATCCGCCAGTCCTTCTGCGGTCGGAAGAAGAAACATGTCCGAAAATACCTCAGAGGACGCTGCGAGTTCATTTCTTGCGACGCAGAAGAGCTCGTCCTCGACCTAGGTAAGACAGATTCTTGGTATCGTCTACATTGAATGTATGTCGCACACATCACCTACCCTGAACCAAATATGCTCTGACCGAAAAAGCTCGTTCACCTTGTATGGATACTCATTTTCCGCACGAGGAGCAACAACGGGATCGGCCATGTAGCGTAAGATTATAAAAGACGATGAAGATGAGAGTTCGAAGAAAGTACCAAACGTTAGGCGACAGTGGCACAAGGGACCATCGATAAGAATTCTCAAGAAGCGCGCGTTGCCTCGCACGAGGCCGCAGTTGTTGGTCACCTGGTCTTCGAAGACCACGAGGAGGGACATGGAGTTGACTGGACTGCGTCTACCAATAGTCTGTCTGAGCCTTTGTGACCACTGACCCTGGAATACAGTATCGCTGCTCGCATATTAAATGTCCTCCACTATCTCATGGTCTTTCTTTTGTTACGGTGAAAGGGACCTCCAGTTGTGCTATGGAGGCAATCATGACGCACGATTAAAATAGAAGTGGGACATTCCGCCTCGCATTCGAATCTTATCAACCGTCAATCTAGACCAATAATATAAAAGGTGTGCCTTTATCGTAAGTACCACTTCTGTACCCAAGTCCATCCAGAATGGATGGTGCAACCCCAGGAGTAGACCCGCTCAAGTTCAACGACCTTTTCTGTTGGGAGTCCATCTGGGTCAAGGTTTGTGTCAGAAGTCTCTCCTTTGCAATGCCCTTACTGACGGTACGATCGGCCATCGGTGTATTCCTACTCAATGATCAGGTCGAGGACGAACTGTTTTGTGTCCCTCGGAGCGGATTCACTCCTGAATTCTTTGCCGATGTGTTCCAACTACCTAGCGGAACTGCAAATACAGAGGTTGGAGCCGGGCGGGACAAAACATATCCTATCGTCCTTTCAGATCTGCGCAAGACAGACTTCGAATCTTTGCTCAACCCGTGTACGTCTTCTTTCGATGTGTTTCATGTATCCGCGGACTGAAGCATGAGTTGTAGGACCAATATGGTCATCGCGAAAGAAGGTATCAAGCTCGATCTCGGAATGGAGGAGTTGATGAATGTTTTGAAGTTGACGACAAAATGGAAGATGGTCAAGGTATGAGATGTATCCACCGCTCCATGGTATGACACTAATGCACTCCACGCGGATAGCTGAGGGATATTGCGATCGATTGTTTGTCGAGGCTGGACAACACTATGTCCCCGGTCGAGAAGATTCGCCTAGCGAGGGAATACCACATTGAGGGATGGGTTAAAGAAGGGATCAAGGCACTCGTTCAGGAACCAAGCCCCTCAGTTGACGAACTGGGCCTCCTACTGGGTTGGGACTCTGTGGCACACATATTCGCTATTCGGGAACATGATCTCCGACGGCCAAAGAAGCATTGTACTGATGGAAATGGGGTCCAGTGGCTGAGATTCCATTCAATCCGCTGCGCCGCATGCAACACTACCTCACCGTTATATACAGGTGAAAGCCAGATCTGCCTGTGCAGTGGGAATGAGACAGGTACTACCGATCGGACGTTCATAATAGTCACAGGCGGAAACCCAGGGACCGAGCAGGTCGTGGCAATAAATTCAATCCATTGCACAAAACCGGGGTGCTGGGGCCAGTCCCAGATCGCCCATCACGGGGGGCATGTCGGCGCTTGCACCTCTTGTCATGCTACTGTAATGGGCCATGTTCGAGTATTTATTGAGCCTACAGTTGATCAGCTGGTCGATAAGTACTTTGGAGACGAGATCAAACAGTGTGATATTATGTCCGTGTCTTCTTGAATGTATTCACGTAAATACGTATCGGTTGAACCAATGTTGAACCCTCTGAGAATGAGAACGAGCGACGACTCACGAGGGTTGACCACTGTACCAAAATGCGTTATGCAGTTAACAGGAATGATCATTCGATACACCTTTCTTAGTCTATCGTAATTAGAAGGAGCAATGGGTGGAAGACTGTGTCGGCGATACACAGAAAACACTAGACGCACACAGACAAGCTGATATGGACAACGTCTATACGGGTGATGGTCGTGGTTACAGTACAAGGTAGAATGCCTAGTCTACTGATCGGACACGCGCATATATGTGTCATCCTTACAATGGGCAAAAGATGGTAATGTAATTTGTTAACAAGCTTCAAATACAGACACTGACAGAGAGGGTGGTACGTAACGTGGATGAAATTGAAACACATGTTGCACAGCTCAAAAGATTCCGATACGGGGAATCGAACCCCGAGCTACCGCGTTCTCATGAAAGGCGGTAATGTTAGCCGTTACACCATATTGGACTTGAAGTCTCTTTCACGCATGTACAGCTCCGCGTGGAGTCGGCGGATGTGCGAAATGTACTGCGGAGAAGACTATGGATTGATGAAAGGTTGAATGGGAAGGGAACGTGGAGGCCATCGTGACGCGCGCTTAAAATAGACGTGGGACCATTCCGCCTCGTGTTGAACATGATCAGCTGGCCAAGCTAGCTATTAAAGAGGTGCGTTGACCTCTCTCGCTTTTACAACACCCCCCTACTCTACTTACGTTCAACCAGAATGGATAACGCATCAACTCCAGGAGGAGACCCGCCCAAGTTCAACAACCTTTTCTGTTGGGAGCCTATCTGGTTCAAGGTTCGTAATCAAGCTTATCCTGCCCGCGCCCGTACTGACGGCAATCGATTCGGTCATCGATGATCTCTTACTGCATGATTAGGTCGAGGACGAACTATTTTGCGTCCCTCGAAGTGGATTCACAGCCGCATCTGATTTAGTCTTTACTGATGCGTTCCAGCTACCCAGCGGGACGGCAGAGCTCGAAGCTGGACGGGACAAATCACACCCCATCGACCTTCCCGATTTGAAGAAGGTGGATTTCGAGTCGTTGCTCAAGGTGATGTACCCGATGTGCGTCTTCGTCGATGTGTTGTGTGTTGTGACTTCGAGAACTGAGGGAGTGCTTGTAGACCCAGCATGTTCATTGCGAAAGAAGGCATCAAGCTCGATCTAAAGAAGGAAGAGTGGATGAGCGTCTTGAAGTTGACGACGATTTGGAAGATGGACAAGGTATGTAGCCATGTTTATTGGAACTGGGGTTCTGCGATGTGTTACTGACGGTGTACTCGACGTGAACAGCTTAGGAATCATGCAATCGAATGCTTGTCAAAGACGGACCTCGCGATGTCCGCGATGGAGAAGCTCCAACTGGCGAAGGAGTACCGTGTTGGCGGATGGTTCAAGGAAGGGATTAAAGCACTCGTGCAGAAGTCTCCCCTCGAAGTTGACGATCTGGGCGCGCTAGTCGGATGGGACTGTGCGGCACACATATTCGCGATACGCGAGCATGATGCCAAGCGGCCGCACCACTGCGCAGAGGGCAATGGGGTTCAATGGCTGAGATTCCAGACCATTCGCTGCGCCTCATGCAAGACCACCGAGCCGTTATACAAAACCACAAGCCAGAACTGCCGGTACTGTGGGATTGGGAGTGCCATCACCGATCTCACGTTCACGTACGGTGGGGGAACCCCTGGGTCCGAGCTGGTCCTGGGCTGGAGCTCCATCATCTGCGTCCGAGATCAGTGCCGACAGTACGCGTTGCACAACGCCAACGTCGTTTGCACTTCTTGTAAAGTGAATGCGTCATCCACCGGCCAGATTCGAGTTTACATAGAGCCTACCGTTGATATGCTGATCGAAAAGTACTTTGGGGACGAGATCAAACAGTATGAGTAGCATGTCTGCGTCTTCCTGAATTTGCTCTCTGTATCACTTTTGTACACCACTCAAGTACCGTCAAGTTTCTGCAATTGATCCAGATGACTGTAAACCCATTTTGTGTTTCATTTTTGGCTTTTGTTAGTGGTGGAAGCGAATGGGCTTCTTTTAATTAGAGGCATATTTGCTGCCCTCGCAGACAGTGACCGGGCAGTAACAGAAGGGGCCTGTCAATGTGGTCAGCCATCTATAGGTAGTGATGATACGATCCAGAAGAGTCGGGGTGGACGTGTGGTCAACTACCGTGACTTGTTACCAATTGTTGCCTACTCATATATCGAATATTCGCTCAAAGCTGATTGGATTCAACTGTACCCGGCGGGTGTTTGACGGGCTTTACGGACTCCCACAGCTTAATTAGGGGTGCAGAAGGCAAGAACAACGCGACTTTAGTTTCGTTTCTGTGCTGCCGGCCAAACGCGTCACTTCCCAATGGCCGGTATGAAGCCACAGATACTCCGCAGCAAGTTCTGTGGAAGAAATGACATGAATGCTTGTTATCCTGACCAACCTGCGCTTACCTGGTGCCTTTCAATCTATGCCGGTTTTTGGGGACATTGGTAGGTATAAAAAGCGCTTGACATTTGGCTACTGCTCCACATTCCTTCAGCCCTCTTATAATCTCACCTTCCAATAACTGACTATTCGCATTAACATGTCTAACCCTATCCAAACTACTACTAAACTCGGAGGGACCGACTCTGATGTTCAAATCGGAACTGTCGCTGTAAGCAGCGCTCAAATCCCTATCTAAGCCATCTTGCTGACGATGTGCCTCCCTTGTCTTTAGCATGGCTTGATGATGATGGTGTATGTTAATGCACAGCGCCCCCTGCATTCCCCCTTCAAGCTGACCATAAAAAACCAACGCTCTCTGCTACAGATGGAAGCCAGAAGTCCACTCGGATGAGCAATGCTTCGAATCCATTAAATCAGGAGTAGACGCCCTCCCTCCCGGCACCAAGATGTTTCTGAACGCCGGTGGGTATCATTTCAGTCGAACCTTGAACTGTAACACCTCAATCAGCTAACGATTACCCCTACGTCCCACCATTCAGGAGAATTCTATTCCCTGGACCTAGGCACTGCCAACCTCGAGCTACTCTCTAGGTTCTACGCCACGTACCCCGAATACGCCAGCAAGACCTTCCTTTCTGTCAAGGGAGCGATGGATAAGCAAATGCAGCCTCATGGATCGTACGTCCTGTCAGTGCCCTAAGTTACATTGCAGTATCTCATTCACTATGTGGGGTTATCGTTATCTTTAGCCTCGAGTTTCTGCGGGCCAGCGTGGACAACATCACCAGAGCCCTCGGGCCGAACAAGAAGATGGACCTCTACCAGCCCGCTCGCATCGACCGGTCGATACCCCTCGAAGAGCTCATGGCGAACCTCGTCACCCTCAAGAATGAAGGCAAGTTCGACCATATCGGCCTCTCAGAGATCACAGGCGCCACGTTAAGAAAAGCTCATGCGGTATGCTTTCTTTGACCTTTACTTGCATCATCGTGTCGTCAGAGTCTAACGCAGTTCCCCGTTTGTTTTTGTTCGAAAGGTACATCCGATTACTGCTGCGGAGGTTGAGATCAGCCCGTGGTCGTACGAACAGAAGACCTCCTCGAGGCGTCCAAAGAGCTGGGTGTCTCCGTCATCGCCTACTCGTGCGTCTTCACATCCGAGTCATCATCGGTGCATCTGAGTACTGATTGCACGATACACACTACACAGGCCGCTCGGACGTGGCTTCTTGACTGGGCGATTCAAGAGCGTGTCTGATCTTCAAGCGGACGACTTCCGCAGACACCTCTCGCGCCTAAAGGAGAAGTACTTCGAGCACAACATGGCCATCGTCGATGAGCTGAGTACCATCGCCAAGAGCGTTGAAGTGACGAATGCACAGCTTTGTATCGCCTGGGTCAAGCATCTTGGTCCAAACGTCGTGCCCCTCCCCGGTTCCTCGTGAGTGTTCTCTTTGTACACTCATAGTAGAAGTATTGTTCTGGCATATCTGAATTGGAACTGTTAACAGGAAAGCGTCCAGAACCCTCGAAAACCTCGCGGCAGGAGAAATTAAATTGTCCAAGGAAGATTTCGCAGAGATCACTGCCATTGTTGAGAAGAGCGAGGTCAAGGGTGATAGGTACTTTGGTAAATCCGAAGAGGCGATGGGTTTGTGGACTTGAATGTTGAGGCTTGAGCTTCGCAGACAGTGTTCGCTTGATAGGTGTATTTTAGCGTTTGATTACTGGAATTTCGATTAACCTGGTTCTTTCAAACTTCTAAGTCTTTCAGCATTTAAGTGGTTGAATGTGAGAAACTGGAACAGTGCGTTGCGGAGCGCTCAGGCAGAGATGGAACGCCAGCAACAGATTAACACATCGGGTATGGTGTAACGGCTAACATTGCCGCCTCTCATCTGTTGAGGAGTGTCCGCGGCAGCTCGGGGTTCGATTCCCCGTACCCGAATTTTTACCTCGTTCGACTTGCCAAGCAAGCCAGAATTCGGTGGTTGTAGTTCTTATTTTTCGACAAGAAATGTCCATCATGCAAGCGCAGGATGAAGTTTTTCTGAGGGAAGTTGGAGCTGTACCGTGCTTTTGAGCAACCGAGTCGGGTGAGATAAGATAAGATTTGTCTCGGACATCGCCGTCGGTGGTTGAGGCATCGAGCTCGTCGTCGACATTGGACATGCATTGCCAGCAACACAGACGAATCTCGGCTTCCTTTCTTCGCACCTGTTGCATCTATAACATCTAGTCCAACTGCTTTTAATCTACAGCACTGATCAACACGATTTCATATCAGTACTAACCCGTCCGGTAAGCTCGCACCTGGGAGAACCGAAAGAATGGCAAGCACCAAGGTCGAGGCAGGAGGATATCCAAGATATGACGAAGGGTCGGGTAGCGGTGAGCAGAATGGTATATATCAGTCTTGCTTCCATCACTGATCAATAAACCCTGTTGACGTTAACCTTGTATACGTTTCACCGGTCACCCTTCTACACCTGACCAATTTCTTGCGCGGGTGGGAAATTCAACTGGCATATCGAACGTTTTGGAACGCCAAACCCGTCGTGGTAACCTTTGCTCTTCACCGTCGTCTCCGACTATGCCTCCTCGACGCCAAACACGTTCTGCCGCTGCTGCCGCTGCTGCTGCCACTTCATCGCGGCGGGGGACTGCTTCTGCCATCGTGACCACCACACCGACGCACACGCCTTCCCGCCGTGCTGCTGCTGCCCGTGCGGCGAAGAATATAGACATGCAGATGGAGTCGGACGACGATATGGACGTTTCTGGGGGTTCATCGCATAATAACGACGATATGGAGGAGGAGGAAGAGGAGGACGACATGCAGCCGCGAGTGTCGACCTCCTACCAGCAGCACCGCCGGTCTGCGCGAGGCAGGGTCGTCGTGGATGAAGATGCAGACGACGACGCTGATGGCGAGGAGGAAGTGGATGTAGACGTGGATGTCGATGCTGACGGAGACGCAGACGTCGACGTGGATGGCAAACC